GACAGACAGAGACAGACAGAGACAGACAGAGACAGACAGAGACAGACAGAGACAGACAGAGACAGACAAACAGAGACAGACAGTGACAGAGAGAAAAAGAGGGATAACAGCACTGAGAGGGCAGCACGCTCACAATAACGAGGCAGCACGGAGTAGGAAAGGGCGAGAGAGGACGTAACACAGCACAAAACAGCACAGAACAGAACAGCACAGAACTGCACAGAACAGCACAGAACAGCACAGAACAGCACAGAACAGACACAGAACAGCACAGAACAGCACAGCACAGCACAGCACAGCACAACACAACACTACACCACACAACAGAACACAATACAACACAATACAGCACAACACAACAGAACACAACACAACACAAATCGGCACAGTGCGGCACAGAAGAGGACAGGACAGGACAGGACAGGGCAGGACCGGTCGGAGGGTTCGCACGAGGGAAAGACAGAGCGATAGAAGCAAATTTGGATAAAGGAAGAGGGAAGGTGTTCGAATAGAGGCGAGAAGATGCCTAGGGCGAAAGAGAGAGAGAGAGAGGTAGCGATTGCGAAAACCTGATTGACCAAGTCGGGTCTTGCGTTTACTCAAACAGCTATCATCGTGAGGGTGGAGCCAGAGCTGGGGCTCGTGACCGGACTGGCGTCGCCAATGTCGTCGGTTGCATAGTGCACTTCCGACAGTGTCCTGTCTGCCGGTACATCTCTGTCTGTCTGTGTATTTGTGTGTGCCGGTTTGGCGGGGATAAGTGACGGACATACAGCACAAGTAGTCGTCTGGATAGCTAGACGAGCCAAAGGGAGTACAGACAGTCGAGGCGTGCGCTGATTGGCTGAGGCGCGGATAGTCTTGTGGAGTCTAGCTACAGCCGTCAGGTATGCACAAAGGCTTTGATCAGTGTTCGGGCTGGTCTGGCCTGACAGGTCAAAGGGGCATAGAGGGGCAGGGATCACGGGCTCGATGTGTGGGCAAGCCGTCGGAGCAGACCTGGTCACCAGCACGGGTCATGTCGGGGTGACAGGCTGGGCGTGACGGTGTGCACCTGTCGGTAGAAGCCGAGGCCTCGGGTTTAAGTAGCCCGGTCGTCCGGTCTGGCCGGCTGAGGGTGGGGGGTGTGGGGTGTGAGACGGCCAAGCGACGGCGAGCCCGAGAGAAGGAGAGCGAACGGATCAGAGGAGGGCAGGCGAAAGACAGAAGCCGAGTGGGAGTGGGAGTCGAAGTTGTCGCAAGGTCTCGTGGCGGTGGCGAAGGCCAGTGATTCAATGTCCTCGCCTTGTCGCCTTCTAGCCGGGCCAACGAACAAAGAAAGAGGGAGTGGGAGAAAGGAAGAAAAAGAGAGAGAGAGAGAGAGGGAGACGCATTTCATCTGACCTACCGATCGGATCAGGAAGAGCCAAGGATTCGGCCACGTGTTGGGACGAGTTTGCGTTGTCTCGATCTGGGCCAGTCTGGTGGCCGATTCGAGACGATCGAGACGATCGAGACGATTGAAGCCAGAAGCCATCTTCCGATCGCAATTGGCCTTGCCAACCGACCCCGAAGCTAGGGCCTTTTGGACGCATGTCACAGCTGCCGCCATGCCGGTCAGGCTGACATACATACATGCACATACACACGTATATACATACATAAACACACACACACACATAAATACATAGTACATACAGACATGAATAGATGTATGCATTCAGACAAGTCGTGCAAGAGGACACAGACGGCGCTGATTCGAGGCCATACCCTCTTTGAGCGCCCCGGCTTGAATGGACCG